CTCATGGCTGCTGCCTGGCCTTAATGCATCACTATCATGTCTACCCTGATCTTCTGGCATGGTCACACCCCGTTCCTACTACATTGCATGTTCTGTAGAGACTGGCCCAACAGTGATTAGTCTACAGTACATTTGACTCATAGAGAACGGTCCACAGACGATTCCTTGAAAGGCCTGGAAATGTATTGGGTCAAGTTCTTGCTGTGTTGAATGGGTAGGTATAGTACTTGGAGGTAGGAAGCGGGGTAATGTTAATGTTGCGAGTTGGCCTGAGCGCCTGCCCCTCCATCAGTCTTGTACCTCGCATAGGCCGAGGCGACAAACAGGAAGTGGCCCACTTTCCTTACATGAGACGAAGAGAAAAAGCTTCCGTGTTAGAGTATCCCAAATGCCTATAAAGCTCAGTGTGTAGCATCTACGCCCACGCTCTCTTATTTCCTCCTTTTCCTTTAAACAGACACCTGCAATGGTGCCAAAGCCATTAGGCGATACCTACCTACAGCATCGTCGCCACCTACCTGGAAGACGGTACTTGTTAGCGTCGTTCTTTCGCAAGTCAAGTGCTTGTGTCAGGCTCTCTCCTTTACTCTCTCAAGGCAAAAGCCTTCGTCTCTGCTTCTCAGTCTCGTTCCTCAAGGCATTGGCGGACCCTGTTAAGGGGCCGGTCTCCTGTGGACAACAAAGACTAGTCATGCCTACTTTCCAAACCTACAATGACCAGTAATAGTGTCTTGAGGAACTCAAGGGTCTTTCTTCCGCGCTCTCCAAAACAGGTGACAAAATCGCAAGCGATTTTCCAAAAGAGTCCTTGAGGAACGATAAGCCATATCTGGTGGTTTGCGGGATGTTTATAGAGCGAGTTTAGGAGTTTGATTTCTCAACGCAAATGGGTCGATTCAGAAGTTGGGGTAGGAGCTGTTAGTGGCTGATTTCAGTGCGGGGTTTAGGAACTACCCGAATTACAGTGGGTCTACAAGTGTAGGGCACCATTTAAGATGCGATTCGCCTTATATTCGCTGAGATGCCAAAACCTGTGGGAGTGGAAGCAGAAATGAACAATAATGATTTAGTGACATTCTCTCTACGTACGAGCTTCCTGCTAAGAATAACATATGGAATCCATCAAACAATCCAAGTACCAGTGCAGAGGACGAATTTAACATTCTGAACTGCATAATGGCCATGATATACGGCCGTAATCCCATTGTCATGGGCCGGGGAGGGGATTAAGCTAAGTGGACAGGCGAGGGGGACGTGGAGGTCATATCCTATGCAACTTAGCGGGGCCGACTCTTCCTCGCATCGCCAGTGGTGTCGACAGAGTCTCCTACAAAGACGTTGTGCTCCTATCAGATGGGGTTGGTGCTTTATTGGTAGGTGGAGGTGTGTTGTTTTTTCGAAGGAGTGGATGGCACGCGGTGGGCCCAACGGTCTGATCGTTTCGAAGATCCCGGAGGATCGCTACGAGGCCCTTCAACTGGAGCATTGGCCGAGGGGAGCGCTGAGACAGAATCTAGCGCTGCTTTGTCATAGAACGTCCAAGTATCTGGGACGACAATAAACACGCAATCCTGGGCCAGCTCCGGGGAGTTGGCCATGTGGCGGTGGTTAAGGAAACCTGCCACCTTGCCAGTGCACGCGAAGAGCGTGTGGGGCTGAAACTGGGTCGCGTGTCTGTCCATCATCTTCTTGCAGAGAGAGGTCCAGGGATCCGCGTGAATAGGGAAGATGACGAAGACCTGAAAAGGATGGAAGCCACCAAAGTGGGGTTTATCTGGGTTCCCAGGGAGAATGAAGCTCGAAAGCTGGACGAAGCCGCAGCACTTGAGTTGTGTGTCACCCAGTGTCGATATTAGGTCTCCATGGAGGAGGGTCTGGCCGGAGCCGATGACAGGCCCAGCGAAGCTGACTATGGGGGGCATGGTGGGAAGGTTCTGTGTGGCGGTAAAGGATTGCGGGGCAATGCTGCAGCAATACGTTAGAACCGATCCAGCTTGATTACAGGGCAAGCTTGGACAGACAAGTGGTAACTTTGGTCGCGGACCATGAGCACGGGAGTGTTGTAGTCCTGAGGACTCCTAATAGTCTCGAGACTATCGTCCGGCTCGACCGGCCAGGTGAGAGTGTAGGGGTGGACGCGGCCGTAGAATAAAAACCACATGTTCTCCCATTCGGAAGCAATAAATTTCTTCTCGTAGAGCGATATGTTAAGACTGAAGAATGCGCTGTCGGGATGGCCGTCTCCACTGTCGACTTGCAGTGACCGGTATTCTGGGGCGGTGATCCAGCTTGGTTGAGGGAAGGCGACTCTTGCAACGGCCTCAATATTGAAGCCTTTGATCTGGTGTTGACCGGGATGCGCAAGCTCCTAGGGGGAACTGGCATACGCAAAAAATATCATGGACATGTCACAGCCAATATTTCTCTGGTATTGGAGCGGGCGGCGAGTGTGAGCGCCGTCCTTCTCGTCGGGCGAGGGGAGTGACATGATGAACTGTCGCGTAGGATGGCTCCAGCATGAGAGATGTCTGTATCTATTGTTGTCTGTGAACCCTCGGTCTTCCGTAATGAGACGGGAGCACTCTGGCTACATGCATCTCTCATCTGTGGCGGCGGTGGTTGCTGCAGAACCTTCCAGTAGTTTCCGTAGAGGACCGTGACACTAGATGGAAGCTGGAAGCGGAGGCTGTGCTCTGTAGGCAGGAATAGGAAACATAAAATGGATTTTATCGTCCTACTGGTCGATGAAGCTCGCTTTGAAGCTCGGATACCTGCTGCACAAAGCTAGGCAATGGCCGGTATGGTTAGTGAGATATCGATTGAATCGTTTCATAATGAAGTCTGTAAGGAGGCCCGTGGGGATGTCAGTCAGATGGTCCGTCAAAAGAGCAAGCGGAAATGGCGGTTCAGGCTGGGCAGAAAGCGATCATGGGGCAAGTTTTTCTTTTTTCTCTTCCGAGGGGGGGGGGGAGAAGGGCTTAAATTATGTGGACCCCACATTTTTCCTCGAGCTCCTTCCAGTAAGAAAAGAAAGCCATTCGTTGACAGGCGAAAATGCGGGGAAAGACTTTGATTGGAGCACCCATGGCGCAGACCGACGTCACCCGCAGGGGCTTGCCATGCGCAGCGTTCCACGGATGCACACGGATGCAAAGCAGGGGCGAGCCGCGGTGGAGCTGCGTGGACAAAAGTGCCATGAGGAAAGTGCCATGAGGAACGACTTAAATTTCCGGGGGTAGAGCATAAGACCCTTTCGTTCCTCAAGGGCATTCACAGGCCACACTTCATGCACCACAATATACGCGCCTCAAAAAGCCACACTTTCAAGCCTCAACTGAGGCCGCAACCCCACAACAACGGGAAAGGCCCGTTCCGAAAGGTTTTGGAAGGGCCCGTTAGGGCCCGATCTCCTGTCGTTCCTCAAGGGCATTTTCTGCGCCACTTCAAGCCACACCGTAAAGCCACCTCAGCTGCGGGAGGCCTACTGGCGAAACGTGCTATGCCCAAACCAGGAGACCCCGCGCTCCGCGAGCTTTCCAAGACCTGGACGGGCTCACCACCAAGCTTCGATAGCTGACTCGGCCGTGTTCTTAATCCTTTTCGTTGTGCTCTAAAACGCTGTCGTCAATCTCATGAGATGGCCCGCTTGCAGGATCCACAACAAGCCTCCGGAGAACGACTCCTCGCCCAGCTTGACGACGCACTGACTCGTTACGAATCAGCTCAGTGCTTCTCTTGTGGCGGGTCTCTTCCCGTTTCTCCCACATCTGACTATGGAGATTTCACGAGCGAAAAGAAACCAGTAACTTGTCCTCGGCCAGTTATCTTCTGGCGTAACGGAAGAGTGTCCAAGTATACAACCATCGATTGCACGTGGACTGCTACGAGGGACTGGGAGAATAGTCTGGAAGAGTTGGTCCAAGATTGTTCCCCTGCCACTTTTGGATGCGACGACAAAAATGTCTTCGATGAGAAGATCCGCAAGGCCGGAGCAATAGGTGCGCATTCCGTATCCACGAATTTCAACCCATATGACTTCGGCATTATAGATGCTGTTACCCGAGAGCTACTCCCTGGAATCGTAAGAGCTGGGAAGGAGCCGGCGGTGGAGAGATGGGGAATCATCGCGGAGCTCTACCAGCTGAATATCTATTCAGGGCCATCAGGCATGTTCAAGTCCCACGTGGATACACCCCGCGGACGAACACACTTTGGCTCGCTTGTCGTCGTCTTGCCAACTGAATTTCAAGGTAGCACTCTTACCCAGCCCTGATAATAAAGAAAATTGAAGCCCCTAATCTGCTACTAGGCGGTCAGCTGAAAATTGTCCACATGGGTCAGGAGCGGGTTTACCTCGAACAACCTAAGTGGCATTTCCGTAACGATACTATCAGATGGGTTGCGTTCTACAGCGACTGCGAACACGAAGTTCTGCCCGTCTCTGCCGGGCACCGTGTCACGCTAACTTACCATCTTTACGTCTCTGCACATATGGGCGGACTGGCACAGCCGCAACTCCAGACTCCAGGTTCGAAGACTTACCCCATGTATTGTGGCGTCAAAAACCTTCTTGCATCACCTACGTTTATGAGAAGTGGTGGAATCCTCGGCTTCCATTGCTCGTTCCAATACCCTGAGACGTGGGAGGGCACGTATTTCTACGAACGCTATCCGCGTACACTAAAGGGCATCGACGCCGTCATCTTCGCGGTCTTCCGAGCCTTCGGACTCACTGTTCATATAAAACCCTACAACTGGCGAGTGGAGATGGCAGATGTCAAGACACGGCATCAGATTCTTCTCTCCGCCGGAGTAACCACCGGCGGAGAACCAGCAGTGAACAACAAAGAGCTTGAACAGTTTGGACGCGGACACTATGTCGGCGATGAAATTTTCAGCCACGCCAATTGGTTCAATGAGATGCCCCAGGGGGTGTCGGCTGGGGCAGGATATCTCGTCGGCGCAAAGCCAACTCGGTGGTTAGGCAATGAAGCCGAAGTTGAATGGGACTATTCCTTTCGTGCGTTGTTCGTGGTAGTCCCCGCGTTTTCGGACCGAATCCTTGAAGCTTAATTTTTTCCCAGTTCTTTATTTTCTATCATACCGCGCCGCTAGAAAGTCTGGGAATGCGTTGAGGAACTCAAGGGTCTTTCTTCCGTGCCCTCCAAACTATGGAAAGAAATAAGCTCGGGCCAAAAAACTGGTCACACGCAGACGCCAATCGACTATAAAGCCCACTGCTCAGCATCCATGCCTGCACTATCTTCTTTCCTACTTTCCCTTCAAACGGACACCTGCAAGGACACCTACAACTGCTATAACCCCAAGGCTGCGCCATACCTACCCAGGGATGTTGGCTTCACAAGACAAGTGCTTGTGTCAGGCTTGTTCTTTCTTTCACGAGGCAAGCGCCTTGCTTCTCAAGCGCTCACGCTCGTTCCGAAAAGGCATTGGCGGACCCTGTAGGGGACCGGTCTCCTGTGTCAAGCCACTCTTGCCAATTGCCCATTACTAGTCATGCTTGAGTTTGCTCTGCGAGTGGCGGGCACTATTCTGGAGCAGAAGCAGGATACGATGAAAAGCGACTCAACCACTTGACTCGAAAGGAGGTTTCCTGAAAATGAAAGAGCAACGGGTTCGTGCTGTTGTAGGCCTGGCACCCCTATGACCAAGATCCTTCCGACGTTACTTTCTCTGGCTCGACCTCTTGGCACCTTGAATTGCAACATGTCACAGCGAACAGTTTGACTGGCTATCTGTACAGTGGCCAATCGATGACCAATCTTATCAGTCAAGTGGTACTTCTGACCATGTTGGAACTTCAATTGGCTCGCCAGGATGAACCAATCACCACCATTCAAGCGAAAGCTACGTTACTGGATCCGTGCTTTATCGCATCGCATTTGGTACAGGGTAGACCGGAACGAGTGTCCGCCAATGATTGTTTGCAAAAGAAAAATTGAGCACTGACCTCATGCGCCACCTGTAGCTTGTACTGTGGAGATACCGTGATCGAGATGTACTCTGTGTGTGTGTGTGTGTGTGTGCGTGTGCGTGTGTGTGTGTATGATTAACGTCTACATCTGCTTGTCTACCCGAGATCACCCGCTGTCGGAATAGAAGCCACCGCTCGTACGGCCTGCTCGACAAGTTCGGAAGATACTGTGATATGGCCATATGATCTTTTCAATTCAAAGCTACTGCCGACCAGTCCCCAAGATATTTGGGCTGCCGCGATCTACGTTTCGTCGACAAGACAGAATGCGATCGGAGCAAGACCCCCAAGTACGGGCGTGGACAGTAAGAGAACATTCTGGTTGCTTTTCCGAGGTGGCCTGCCACATGTCCTTGATACCAATGACGTTCAGACCGATGCGTCTCCCAAGAACGGGCCGACGTCTTGAAGCCGTGAAAAGAAAAGGTTGTGGCAAGCCTCTACGCTAGGCATGGTCAGCGTCTTAATCGAGGTGTACAGAGCCTGATACCAGTCTCATAAGCTCTTCCTCGATCCGCGAAGGAATGCTGAGGCCGGCCGTAGACGTCCGGATTGCCTAGAAGTTGTTAGAAGGAAGTCTGATGGTCACGTTTGGGAAGCACTTACAGTCATATGGTTGCGGATCTTCTGTAATTCTTCCTTACCACCAAGCTCGTCCGGCCCACCGCTCTTGACCTTCTTGACGACAAGATCCATAACAACGGAGATACTCTTTGCATATTTCCCCACATCTTCACCTGTAGCGCCCGCGTATTTCAACTGCTCGCCCACAACATCCAGCCATAAACTAATGCCTGTCCACTGTAGGATGTGGCCGCCTAGTGCAAGTGTCTGAACGCCTTCGGGTCGGAAAAGAAAGTGAATTGTGCCTGAGGGGGAAAAGACTGTCCAGCCTGGGCGGAGTACAACATACCTCCAACGGCTGTCTCTGTGGGGTGCAGTGGGGTTAAGCATCCAATCACGATACTCCCCGCGGGTCGGACGTGACATCCATTCAAAGCCGATGCAGCCCTCTTGAGCTGTAACCCAGGTCGAAAGTCCGCGGCTGTCTATGCGAGGTACCGTATTGTGTCCACCCTCGGAGAGGAGAACCCATTCTGAAGTTTCTCTCCACTCATGCCCGGGTCGGGTTGGTCCCTCTGCCTCAGCTACTGCCTGGACCGCGTCACGCATTCGCGACAGCAACTGGCAGTTGTCACCATCCAGAAAAGACGGCAGGATCGATGGTGGAAGCGGGCTCCGGACTTCGAGAAGGCTCCAAGGGTCGGCGGTAGGCTGAGCGCGTAGGAAGCGCTCTCCTACCTCTCGCAGAGATTTGTGCAGAGATTTGTATTGAAACGGAGGGCCGTATGTACCAAGGGATGATGTCTGGACAGCCACCAGCCGATCGAAATCTACTATTCGATCGAATAGCTGCCTGATAGGATGACCTTCACGCCAGCGGAAACGCTGCTGGCCTTGCGTGAAGACAGGAACTCCAGGAAGGTGGACCTCGAACCCTATCGCTGCCTCATCTCCGGACCAAAAATGCGCCTCAGTGGTGCTCGACCCACTCAGCACCGGTGGTGTACTGTCCAGCAATATATTGTAGACCAGGTCGTCTCTCATCTCCCCTCGAGAGCTCGGGACTGCTTGTCGTCTCTTTATTTCGAGCTGATGGAGGACCTGCTTCCGAAAGGCTTCGTCACCAACCCGGTCGTGCGTCGGCCGACTTTGTTGAGCTATAGTAATTGCTGAAGGCCCTTGGTTGTACGATTGCTCATCAACCCGGATTCTCCTGTACGCATGATTTCCATCGGCGTCAGTAAATGAGGCCCGGCGCCGCCGCAGACCACTGGCTGCAGGTGAGATATCTTGACTATCCTGTTCAGAAAGGACGAGTGCCTCGATGAACCTCCGCACATGTTTCACACATAATTCTCGCGGGATGGCACCACCGCTATTCCGAACGTGACATTGTTCAGCCAGTGAGATTTTGAGCTATGGAACCACACACGAACGGGACTTATCGTGTTATATTTCGCCAAACTCCACCACTGGCAGCTAGCTTGTCATCCTGCCTCAGCACATGTCGAATAGATTTGCCATCTCGTTTGCTCCAGCACTAAAGGCTCGCAGGCTTCGACGGCGGCGTCGACAAGGGATGCAATGTGAAACAAGCAAAGAGGATTGGTCTTGCTGGCGAAGATAATCACCTCGCTCCATATTGATTGTATACGAATCTAAATTAGTCGCCGGATGAAAGGGCCACACGAAGACTGCCTACCAAATGATCTCCGAAGTCCGACCAATGGATCTCATCCTCAGGTGCCACAGACCCCATCAAAACTATAGGTTGAGGATAGAATCTCCCAAGCCTCCAACTTCACCGAAACTAGTACGTGTCAAGTATCATGTTGCGAGTATCGTGTTTGGGAAGTTCTTCAATAAGTCCTGCGAGCGGCTTTGACCATCTCGCCCGCTGTCAGTTTGCATCATAGTTCTCACCATAACCCATTTCGACCACACCGTAAACAAGTCTGGCCAGAGAGCTCCTCGAGACGCTCATATTCCGCATTCATGACCAAACATTCTGTTGTACCGCGGCGTGCGT